AAAACTAAAACTCATAAATGAAAGGAATTTACAAAGGCATGTATCATAGATACTGTATTAAAATTTTTTAAAAAAAGATTTATATTTATTGCTAAGTCAGATAGAGGAGAGATAGAGAGGAAGTTTATTCACTCCCCAAGTGACCACAACAGCAGGAGCTACACTGATTGAAAGCTCAGAGCCAGGAGCCTCTTCCAGGTCTCCCCTGCAGGATCCCAAGGCTTTGGGCTGTCCTCAACTGCTTTCCCAAGCTACAAGCAGGGAGCTGGATGGAGAAGTGGGGCTGCCAGGATTACGTCAGGATTAAAACCAGCACCCATATGGCGTCCAGGCATATTCAAGGTGAGGACTTTAGCCGCTAGGCTACTGTGCGGGGCTCTTTAAAAATCTTATAGTCAATCATACACTAACTACCATTATCTTCACTTAGTACTAATTCAGTTGTGTTTTTTTCCTCCTTTTTATGCGGTTGGAGACAGAACTGAACCAGCATCAATTGTTTTTTGTTCTTTTGTTAAAGAGCATTGAGAAGCATCAGGAAAACTCAGCTTTTCTATGAATGGAGGGCCTTCACAAGAAACTTTTGATTTCTTCGAACTATTTTCTTTTTTTTTTTAAAGATTTATTTTTATTATTTTTTTATTGGAAAGGCGGATATACAGAGAGGAGAGACAGAGAAGAAGATTTTCCGTCCGATGATTCACTCCCCAAGTGAGCGCAACGGCCAATACTATGTCAATCCGAAGCCAGGAGCCTCTTCCGGGCCTCCCACGCGGGTGCAGGGTCCCAAAGCTTTGGGCCGTCCTCCACTGCTTTCCCAGGCCACAGGCAGGGAGCTGGAAGGGAAGCGGGGCTGCTGGGATAGAACTGGCGCCCATATGGGATCCCGTGTGTGCAAGGCGAGGACCTTAACCACTGCGCCACCGTGCCGGGCCCTCGAACTATTTTCTTTCCTTAAATATAAGTGTCAATATAAGGTAGATGTTTCAAATCATTTTCCTCTAAGGGCTCATAACATTTATCTCCCTTGTAGAAGATCCCCCATATACTTTCTGCTTTACATGGTGGGAAACCAAAATGACTGTATCATATAATATAATGCAACAGTTTGAGGCTGTAAATAAACTTTTTGTACCTCCTTGATTGCCATCTGTTTCTAAGATATTATTAAGCTATTTCTTAAGGAGAACATTATGCACCTTAAAGTAAGTTCCAGGACAAATGTGGGCACATAATGAAACATTTGGGAACAATGTGAGCTCAATTGTACTATTGTATGCTTTTAGCTGTGTGTCATAATCTTAAATTGCTTGGACCCTTTTACCATTACATGATTGATAAAATCAGTTTCAGTTATTACACCAGTTACAGAAATCATTTCACATTTGCAGAAAAGCAACAACACCCTAAAAGAATTCCAAGAAATATCAGAAGCGACTAAGTGTCCATATAGTGGGGTGAAGCAGCAGTGAGGTAATTAGAGAGACATTCCGTCAGGCCTTGCCAACAGGGGAACCACTGTCCTTACACCTTTGTGCCATCTGCCCCAATGGCATGGCTTCCCACATTTGATAGTTCTGAGAAGCCATTGGCTTCATTGCCTCAGTGTTGAGACAATGTTTTCCAGGTCTATTGGCTGACCAAGTCCACTTCAGTGCATCTACAGACCCAGGAACATGTTGCAAAATTGGGCCAGAAGAGAGGTCCAACCCATTCCGCTTTTCATCCTCTGACGAGGTACTTCCATCCGATGATTCACTCCCCAAGTGACTGAAACAGCCGGAGCTGCGCCAATCCGAAGCCAGGAGCTACAAGCTTCTTCTAGCTTTCCCACTTGGGTGCAGGGTGCTAAGGCATTGGGCTATCCTTGATTGCTTTCCCAGGCCACAAGCAGGGAACTGAATGGGAAGCAGGGCTTCCAGGATTAGAACTGGTGCGCATATGGGATCCTGGCAAGTTCAAGGCAAGGACTTTAGCCATGAGGCCACCGCATCATGCCCAACAAATGTCTTTTTTATACACCATGAAACTTAAACTGAGGAAAGAGAAATCAAGTGGAAACAAAGCAAAAACAGCAGTGTGTTATGGCAATAGTTTCCCAAAATAATTGTATAGCAGAATCATCTGGAGTACTGATTAAAACTCCACATCTAGGCCCTGTCTCCAGATTTTCTATTTGAGTCGGTCAGGCGAGGAGTCCAGGAATTTGAATTTCTACTAAGATACAGAGGAAGCTGATGTTGTTTATCTAGAGAGCACCCTTTGTGATCCACTGCTTTTGACTACTAGGGAGGTGCAAACAGGAGCTGGAAAGTTCAAGAAGTGTCTCCATAGCTGAAAAAGGTTCTAGAGTACCCCAGGGAAATTATGTTAGTACTGTTTACAGGACAAAATGTCTTTAAGCTAACTTTCATGATCAAAGAATGACAGACCTCTTAGTTTTTAAGTTAAAAAAAAAAAAAACTTTAGCAAGATTAATTCTAGCCTAGAATGGAAGAAGACTAAATTCAAACAGATGCAAATCCAAGACTAGAGTTACAGATATAATTATACAACAGTAACTTACAAATTAAATCTTGCAATTAATGTCAGCAACTTCGGTAGAATTAAAGAGGGAAAGAACCTAAGAAACACTAGAAATGAACAATTCTGTTATTTACCAAGGTATAATGTACTTACCCTTGTGTATAAATTTTAAATATCCAATTTGGCAAGTTTTGACAAAAGCACTTGGGTTGTTATCTTTCAAATCAAGACATGGAAATCATCTCCCATGAAAAGTTACTAAAACTCTTTTGTAATTATTCCTTCACCCTTGAGGCAATCTTTCTGAATTTTTATCACTTTAGATAGGTATAATAGATACTCCTATCTGGCAAACATAAGGTGTATTTGAGAGTCTCATAAATTGTTACATCATCAATAGTTTATTCCTTTTATTGTTGAGTGGTATTCCAGTGATTGAATAAAATCTCATCTTTTGCTATAAAATGGATGCAAATGAAAACCATTATGAAATAAGCTAGTTTGAAAAAGGTAGATACCTTGCTTCCCATGACCTGTGGTACTAACACACAAGTGCAAAAAATGTAATGTGTATGAACAAAATTGACATTTTGAGATTTGATTTTTGCTTAGAATCTTTATTGACATAATTAAGGTAGCAAATTTTTCTTTTTCCTTTTACTTGTTCTTTGTTGAATTATTTACTTAACGGAGTGTGAAGTTTGTAGAAAATATGCTATTGTAAATTTTTTTAAAAGAAGAAAGGAGGATGGATTGGAGAGTGCAGGCAAGAGGAAGAGTAGAGTAGAAAGCATCACTGTGCTCCTAAATTTTTACTGTGAAATACATGAAATTGGATCAGTACAATTGCTCAGTGGCTAAATAGTCACCTGGCAAGTGCCAGGATCCCATATGGGCACAGGTTCATGTCCCAGCTGCACCACTTCCGATCCAGTTGCCTGCTTATGACCTGGGAAAGCAGTAGAGGTCGGGCCAAAGCCTTGGGAACCTGCACCCACTGGGAGACCCAAATGAAGCACGTGGTTTTAGCTCTGCCTTTCCAATAAATAAATCTTTAAAAAAAAAAAAAAAAACAAGAGGGTCTGGCACAGTAGACTAGTGACTAAAGTCCTTGCCTTGCATGCACTGGGATCCCACATGAGTGCCGGTATATCCTAGCTGCTCCTTTTCCCATCCAGCTCCCTGCTTGTGGCCTGGGAATGCAGAAGAGGATGGCCCAAGGCCTTGGGACTCTGCAAGTGTGGGAGACTGTCTCAGCAATATAATTTTGGCTGGAGCCGTGCACAGTCTTTAATGTTTTGAGGGTCAGATTCGTTAGAGGAGAAACATCCACGAGCCATTCCAGTACATATAAAGTTAAATATTTATTAAACATCAAGCACGAAAGATTGGTGAAAAAGTAAACGTAGAGAAGCAAGAACAAAGATTCTCAAGCATACCACACATCACGGGAGTGAAGGGGAGAACTCAGCACATCACCCCCTTTGACATCATGGGGTCATTTCAGTTGTTCTCTGCAACTGCGACAGCCTCCCGGGAGAGAGAGAACTCTCTCACTGCACGGCTGAGGTTTTTGTTTTTGTTTTTTGTTTTTGTTTTTTATTGGTGGGGTTGAAGCAAGCAATTTTCTTTTTCTTTTTGACAATCTTTACATAGGTAATTAGGGTAAGAAGGTTCAAGGGCTACAGGAAAGTGGATAATACTAGTATGTTTTCCATATTTTTACCTTCATGTTTAAAGGGGGATATTGAGGGAGAAGGCCCACCCAATTTCCCACCTTCCCCAGGTCCCGAATGTAGAGCATGCTCTGAGGATCTTGCTCATGTGGTTTTGATATTTCAACAGTTATGAATCGCTGCCAATCTTGCCACTCCAAGCACTATGAGGTCTTTAAAAAATCCACTGATTGACATAGTCCATCATAGCTGAGTTGGTTGGTTGACCTGTTCTGTCTTCTCTCTTTTCTTGGTTAGGGTTCTGAGTCCAGCATTTAGATTAGGAAGATCTCCAAAGAAACTTTGTCTGAGGTGTTCTCAAACCAGATTCTTGTATGTGCTAGCAAGTACAGGGCCCGGCACAGTCCATTGCCCTGATCAGCTGGTGGTTGCAATTGCTGTGTTGGTTCTGTTTTCACTCCCAACTTCCACTGGAAACAATGGGTGTTGCATTCCAGCCTGGTGCTGCCCAGCACATACTTAGCCCTCACATAAACCAGTGGGAGCTGCAGCCTAGTTGGAGTGACCCACAATAACCCCCACCAGACCTGCCCCCTACCCTGGTTTGCCAGTATATGTAGCAGTAATTCAGTCTGTCCCACACCCCATTCCACCCTAGCCCCTGTCCTGGTTTCCGTGCCCTCCCATGGAAGTGGTAACCCAAGAGGGATGAACCCACTATTTCCCTCCCAGGCCTCTCCCACTCCCAGATTATGCACTCTCCAGATAGTTCTGTGGTTTGACTTGACAGAACTAGCCCCCAGTGCCAGCTTCTGCCAGCTGATGCTGTGGCTAAGCCCAAACAACCTTCGCCCACTCTAATTTTGTTTGCACCAGTAGGAATAATCAGCCCGGCCTGACTTTTCCCTGATCTAGTCCACATGAGGCGCACAGGTGTTGTAGCCCTGCCTAGTCTGGTCTGCCCCCATCCCAGCTCAGGCTCTCCTGAGGGAGTAGCTGTCCAGCAAAGGAACCCTCCCTTTCTTGTTCTCAGGCTGGTTGGGCGCTGCAGTCCCTTCCGGTACAGGCAACCTCACCTCGGCATTCCATATTGTGCACTAGTCTTTGTTGCGACCGAACCTGGGTCGACCCACACTGTTCTGGTGCTTGGATTTGCCAGTGGATGACGTGGACAGATTCAGCCTGGTCTTGCCCCCACGTCTGCCAATTGTACGCCAGTGAGTAACTTTCCATGGCCTGTTCTGGGCTGTTTCCTATCATGTTTCTTGCGCTTACCTGCCGGGTCTGTGTCCTGCCAGAGGAGTTGCCCAGGCTCCTCCATCAGAACCTCTCCCCCCAATGCCAGGTTTCACGCTTACCAGTGGGTCCATGAGCCAGCCCTACTCGGTCCACTTCCTGTCATAGCAGAAACTGTGGCTTTTCCTGACTGGCCTTCAACTCAATCTGGTTCTTGCTGTTGGATGTTTCAGCCCAGCCATGGTTTATCCATACCCACATATGGCTCACGCGTGGCTCAGTAGCGGTTTGAGACCTTGCCTAGTCCATCGCACATCTACCCTGGTCCTCCAGGACTCCAGGGGTTGTTGGGGTCTGGCCCAGTTCGGTGCATCCAATCCCAGTCCACACTTGTGCCAAGGGAGACTACAACCATTTCCCAATCAGAATGCTGCCCCCATTCCAGGTCACACGCCCCTTGGCAGGAACCTCAACCCAGCTAGGGTTGTCCCCTTAGCTCCCCATCCAGGCCTGTTCCCAGTCATAGCTCACATGCATGCCAGTGGTTGCTCTGACTCAGCCTGGCACAGCCCCTCACCTGTCCCAACCTCTGCCTTAGACACTGTGGCTTAGCGTCCCTGGCTCATGTGGACCAGTAGGTACAAGAGCCTAGCTCGGCATGACCTGTGCTTTCTCCTGGTTTCTAGTTTTGTTTGTGGGCTAAGGTTTGCTCAGTCCTGCCTGATCTACCCTGTTCCATTACCAATTGACACATTAGCCAGCTGTTGGAGCTACTTTTCCCAGCCTGTCTGACCCCCAGGTCTGGACCACATGTTCACCAGCGGGAGCTATGACTCACCAAAGGAGTCTCCCAAGTTCCTCCACTTAATCCACTCCCAGACCCAGTTCTCATGCATGCCATTGGGTTTAGGCCTGTCCCCAACACAGTCTGGCCTTCCATTTGGCCTTGTATGAGCTGCTGAATGTTGCAGCCCCGCCCATCCCAGACCCTAATCAGGATGCACAATTGGGTGCTGCTGCCCTGACTAGTCCAGACTATTGGGGGTTCCTTTACCTGTGATTGATGGCAGGCTCCTAGGTCACACCTAGCTCAGTCCATCATTACCCCAACTCTCGAGATAATCAGTGAGGCTAGAATTTTCATGGGATGTGGCCCACACATCCCTCACAGAATTTACCCCTGGTTATGGTTTTTGAGTGCTAGTTAATGTAATGGCTTGCTTAATGTGACCCTTCTCCTGATCCATCATCATGTCACGTAACATGATACAATTCTGCAGGACAAGCCACAGCCATAGCTTTTACATGGACTGGTATTTGGTGGTCAGCATTGTTCAGTGATTACAAATTATACAAAGGAAGAGTTACTGCCAGTGGGAATCTACGAATGTTTCAGGTCCTAGAAGCACAATGGTTTCAACCTGGAGCTAATTAAGCAGCGACTCAAAGAACCAAAACCCCAGAGCTCCCCGGCCAGGCAGACAGCAGGCGGAGCCTGGCACCAAATGGCGCACTGGCCACCCTGGAACAGCTCACCACGTGCACATGCTGGCTGTTGTCTGGGATCCAGGCATGAGACGCCCCGTCCTGAGACCCACCGGCTGAGGGGTTTTTAGGCTAATTCAGACAAAGGTGGCTTAATGCCCAAAGTTTACATACCTCAGCTGGCGGCGTGACCTCGCCCGGGTCCAGGCCAAGGAACCGGGCAGGGATGAGCGCCAGTGTCTTATCTTTTTCTCAAAACATACGGACTTTGTTCTCCTCCTAGCACTGGCCAGGCGCCTGAAGGAGAAGAGGCCTGCCAGCACATACAGGGTGAATTTGGGGTCATGTCCGAAGCTTACCCCAAGCCTTTTAAGAAAAACTCTCCCTTTTACAGAGACCCAGAAGCTCCTGGCCTCAGATCAGCTCCAGCGATGATGGCCATTTGGGGAGTGAACCAGCAGACAGAAGATCTTTCTCTGTGTCTTTTTCTCTCTATAAATTTACCTTTCTGGTAAAAATGAATAAATCTTAAACACACACACACACACCAACACATATGAAATTGGTTTACCTTATATAAGTTTAAAAATAGGGGTCTGCACTGTGGCATAATAGGTTAAGCCTTCGCATGTGGCATCAGGATCCTATATAGACACTGATTCATACCCTTGTCCACTTCTGATCAAGCTCCTTTTTATTGCTTGGCAAAGCGGCAAAGGATAGGTCAAGTTCTTGGGCCCCGTGCACCCATATGGGAGACCCTGAGGAAGCTCTTGGCCTCTGGCTTCAGATTGGTCCAGCTCTGGCTGTTGTAGCCACGTGGAGAGCGAACCAGCAAATGGAAGACCTCTCTCTCTCTCATCTTCTCTCTGTAACTCCACATTCCAAATAAAAATAAGTTTTTTAAAAAAGAGGGTTGGGGGGACAGCACAGTGGCTCAAATGGCCAATCCTCTTCCTGCAAATGCCGGCAACCCCTATAGGTGCTGGTTCATGCCCCAGTTACTCCACTTCCCACCCAGCTCCCTGCTTATTAAGTCCTGGAAAGCAGCAGCAGATGGCTCATGGCCTTGGGACACTGCATCCATGTGGGAGACAGGGAAGGAGCTCCTAGCTGCTGACTTCTGGCTTCTGATCAGCTCAGTTCTGGTTGTTACAGCCACTGATCAGCAGATTGAAAATCTTTCCGAGTCTCCTTTGCTCTGCAAATCTGCCTTTTCAACAATAAATATTTAAAAATAATTTTTAAAAAGGTCTCTATCTCCATCTTCACAGTTTCCAAGCTAGAGAAAGTGAAATATGAAAAAAAAGTGAAACTGTATCTCTGTATCTTACTTTGTTGCACCAGTGTGTCAGTTTTTCTTTGCCTATTACTCCTTCCCTGATTCTTTAACAATAGAGACAGTGTACTTTGTCTTTTCATACTTTCTCTCTTCTTAGGGGCAAAGTGAACTCCTTAAATAATTATGGAATGCACAAATTAACAACTGTATTATTTTCTAGAACAAAACGCCTCCAAAGCATAAAGCATTCTCTAAGTACATAAAGAAATATTTTATTTTCTCTGAGAATGGCTGTAAGACACAGGAGTTACCAATAGTGGATATTGAAAAGTTTGAGAAATTTTTACTGAAGGAAGGAAAGGTGAGGAAGTCTGATAAAAGGAGTGATCAAGTTTTTACAGACGGAAAATATGGTAATAGGACACTGGAACCCAAATGTAATAGTATTTCCTGAACATTTATGCATTAACTGCCCAAGTCAGTAAAAGTAAGAGCTAAATGATCTAGGACTACTACTTATGGAAATGAGAGGTTTTGAAGAGGTGATTATCAGCATATAAGCTATATGGAAAAAAGCAACATTATTAAGTAAGCAATTTCAACTGTTTAAATCCTTCAAAGTAAAATAATCCCATGAATCCCCTATTTTGGAAGGTATAGTACTGTGCTGATTTCTTACCTTTGGGATAATGTCATTTTAAGACTTCACAACTCCATGGTGTCATTAACTTGAAATCTGCATTCAAGCAAGTTTACAGGCAGGGTGAAAAATAAGAAATCAAGCCAGTCTTGTGGCATAGCAAGGAAAACAACACACGCAACACCAACATCCCACATGGGCAGAGGTTAACAGGCCCAGCTGCTCTACTTCTGATTTAGTTCCCTGCTAATGATCTGGGAAAAGGATTAAAAGATGGCCTAAATGCTTGGACCCCTGCCACTGCCATGGGAGACCTGGATGAAGCTCCTGGCTTTGGCCTGCTTCAGCATGGCCATTGTGGCCATCCAGAAGTGAATCAGCACACGGGAGATTTCTTTCACTCTATTGCTCTTTGCAACCCTGACCTTCAAGCAAAAAAATAATTTAAAAAAAAAACATGACAATAAATCCAGCAGAGCAACATGCTTTTATTTTTTATTATCATGCATATAAGACAAATATGCCAATTGTACATTTCTATTTTGACACAGCAGTGTTACAAGTATTGCATAACTTAGGAAAAGATACATCAAATACTAAGTTATTACCCAAATTATCCAAATAAGCCACACACTTTTGGATAAATTATTTTTCAATAAAACTATATTAAATAGTTTAATAATGACCCACTAATAATGACCCACTTGTTCAAACCATGTTTCTAAAACTATAATGGAATTTAACAGAATTCAGTAGAAACAAGAACAAGTTGAAAACTACTATAAGTATTCACGTAAGTCTTAATATTGCACAGGAAAGCAAGATTAATTCTAATGTTCCTACTTGAAAGCAGAAGTCAGTACAGCTCAATTTACCAAGCAAGCAGAAACAGAAAACAGTAACATGAAATACTAATGAAACAAGGGTACAGTGATAATCTTCCACATCAAGTCACATAATAGCAAAACAGAACGCATCCAAAGTAGCACTGAATTTCTTTAAACAACTATTGTTTAGGCACTATTTTAATAACCAATCCTCTTTATCACCACCCTAAGAAACATGTTACTCTTACAATTTAATTAAGTATCCTCTGCTAGAAGGCTCTGTCAGCCAAATCCTTGCCCAATATTTGCCTGGCTCACTTCTGCTTCTGATCTTTTGTTCAGTTTTCCCTGTCCATGGCATTCATCACAATCTCTTTATTTCTTCCATCCATTGCCTACCAGATCTCTTTGAGCCCTCCAGGACTTATGAAAGGAGTTGGTAACTTGGGAAGAGAGCTGAGAATGCAAAATCCCTAAAAATTTTACTAAATAACCTCTCTAGGAACAATAAAGCAAAATAAACTAAAAAGCCTTCTTTTGCAGATCATTTTATCATAATGTTTCTCTTAAGAAATACTAGCAGCAGCCAGAGAGATAGCCATGGAAACAGTAACAGTGATACTGAAGAGTAATGGAGTAGCATAAACGATATGAAACAAATGGGACCCTGCTGTTCTTCCTTCACATTATATTAAGTCACGTAACTGCTCACAAACCATATACTTCAATGCTGGATGCAGAGGCTATGTAGAATGGATTTTGAAACAAAACTATAAATCCTGGTGGTAGTAACCAGAACAAAGTTTCCTGGGAACAAAGGAAGTTTTTAAGTAAGCAATGGAGATAAAAGCAGTGTAATCTACAGTCCTCATTTGCTTAGCTTTACAGTGGTGTGCACCACAATCACGCAGCATGTCACTAATGTAGAGCAGCATGAAGGTCACGTAGAAGTGAAGCAGCATGCCTACAATGGTCTCAATCTGGAGGTTTAGCAGACTAAATGTCTAACAGAAGACAGAATGCAGAAAGCTTAACAAAAACCAAAAGGCGGCAGATTCATCACTGTTGTCCCAGGACAGGCCAACAGAAGGTGATGAGGAACCTTGTGCAGGATTCCCAAGCGCAAAGCTTAACCCGACTGGAACCCAAAGGGCCTGGGGATCTCAACCGGCTCCCTTATTGGGCGGCGTCTGGCTCTTCGGACACCTTCACGCAACAAGTAGTACTGCAGTGGATTTGGCCACAAGTCCTCTTTGATAATCTCCGCAATTTTGTCGGATTCAGGAAGGCTGTGGTCTGAAAACCAGGTGAAGAAAGTGCAGATGAGGTCTTGGTTTCTACGGATGAAAGACTGGGGTTCGTGTCCCCTGCGCCATATGATCGGCGTGGAAACAGACACCACTCTGCCAGAGGCTCGAACCTCATACTCCTTCACAATCAGCTTATTCCTGAAATAGGGGTTTCTTCGGAAGAAGAATTTGAACTTGCAGCCAGTCCTAGGGTGTCTGAGTTCCTTTACCTCCAGGTTGGTTACGTACCTTAACATCTCTGCATCTTGGCCCCTAATCATGCTGGACAACTGGGGGTGGTTCCGAAAGGCGGTCATCCAGAAACCCGGGATATTCTGGATGATGTAGTTTCTCCGCTCCAGGTAGTGCCGACGCATTCGCCCAAACTTCTGCTCCAGCTGCTGGAAGGCCCTGTCAGCCTGAGCATTCACCGTGTCCAGTTCCTGCTGGATGGCCTCCAGCGGGTTCATGCGCAGGGCCGCACTCAGACGCCAGGGACGGGCCTCCTCCTGCGCCGCCTCTCCCACTCCATCTTCCTTCTCCACCTCTCCTCCTTCACCTGCCGGCTTCTCCACCTCCATCTCCTCCGGCTGTTCTTGTTTCTCCGTTACTTCCCCCGGCTCCACCACGTCAGCCCTCTCCTCATCCACGGCTTCGGAATCGACCGCACGCTTTGCAACCTCCGCTTCCTCAGCCTCGGGCCCCAGCATCGCCTCAGACTCCGACCTCTCTGCGCCACAAGTTTCTGGAACCTTCTCCCCACCCTGAAAGACATTATGAAGGCTGCAGCCAGTGGCCGTCGCCACCAAAGCAGCTTCCAGTCCCTCCGAGGGAGGCGGAGCCTCTTCCCGCCCGGCCTCGATCGCTCCGGGACCGCGACCCCCTGCGACTCGGGACCGGGCAGCAAGGCCACCGTCCGTGGACTCCCGCGGCACGCCCCCCTCCTCTGACAGCTTGGTCGGTGCCCGTGCGACAGACCCCAAACTTCCCTCACCGGTCTCCGCCATCACCTGTATCGCCTCGACATCTCCCGGAGGACTTCGGAGAGCCGCCAGGCTGAGGGTCCGTGCGAGAGGGGTGTTCTCGTCCCCCTCCAGGCCGCTCATGTTGCAGACCGTCAAGCCCCGGCAGCGCAAACTCTGTTTTCCTCACAGAAGCCGCGCTCACAGAAGCTCTGTTTTCCTCACAGACGCCGCGCTCACAGAAGCTCTGTTTTCCTCACAGACGCCGCGCTCCAGCCGGACGCCGCGGGTACCCAGACACCGCTCGCCCCGCCCAGCCTCTCTTCGCGGAGTCTCCGGGGCAGTGACGTCAGAGCGGTAGATCTCGCCGCCTCGCGAGACTTGGCTGCGCCCCTGGATTGGCTCCTCGGCTGCCTCTGTTTACTGAGTAAAGAAGGTAATTTTATTTACGTAAATAATGGCTGGCCGTTCTCCGGGGATGATGGTAGTGGACAAGACTTCTAATGCTTCCGGCTTTTGGGCTGGAGTAATTGCAGCGGTTTCAGTCCTTACGCTGCCTGCTGTCTGTTGTCTGAGAACATGTTTTTCGGTGGTGGTTTTCTGAGGCAGGAATATAAATCTCTTCCGTTACTCGGTCCGACTGTGATCGAAACTATTTTTAACCAAGGTGGATAATGAGATAATGAAACATTTTTCTTAAGTGGAAATGACATGAAAAAGTCAACCACCACCCTCTCCATATCAGCTTTCCCCCTTAACCTACCAAAGAAATGCGTATTATTTATTGCTAGTCCCCAATTTATGGTCTGCACTAAATAAGACCTTTTTTTTTGCTGCATAATAAATCGTCAGGAATTAAGCCAAGATCAATTTGCTAAAGTTTATTAAATGCCCCTTCACGGTAAGAAAGGGAATTATAGTTATTTCTAACCCCATAACCGCAATTGATTAACATATTTCGTCCTATAGAATAGGACAATTTGGATCTAATGAAATACCTGTTTATGGCAGTTGACTCAGAGTTCTTTTGAGAAGGAAGTCATGTCTCTGGTTTCATCTGCTGACTTGTAAGTTAAATTGGTGTTGTCTTACAGAGCTACAAGGGACTACAGAAATATTGGTAAGGGACCACCACCCATGTGTGAGGATAATCCCAGTGGTTTTGAAGTAGAAAATTTGTGGAATACAACATGCAGTCGATTGACTCAAGGTGAATAACGGTTTCTATCCACTAATTTTACCTTGTATTGGTATCGGACTCACTCTGATGGCCCTCAAATGGGTCGTCCATGTGCTAATCCTCAGAACCTGTTAGGTGGCAAAAGGGACATTCAGGCATGACTAAATGAAGGGTCTGGGCAGGAGAAGGCTCCCCTGCGTTATCCAGGGAGGACGTGTGGGGAGCCACACTGGTCCATTAAAAAGGAGGTAGCAGGGTCAGGGAAACTATGATGGCCAAAGCAGAGGGGAGTGAGAAAAATATGAAGCTGTAGGCTTTGAAGATAGAGGAAGTAGAGATACAGCAGCTCCGGGAAGACCAAGGTGAGAGAACGGGTTCTTCTCCTTGGGCCTCCACAGAAGGACAGTCCTCCCAACACCCGGATTTTGAGAATTCAGAAAATAAATCGGTCATTTTAAGCTAAGTGTTTCAGAAGCAATTTGAAATGGATCCTCCTTGTGTTACCTTTGCTCCCATCTGCACAAGCTTCCAGTTGTTTCTAATAGCTGCCTCTTCAGCCTTTCCCATTGCATCCCCCACAGTCCTGCATGCTTAGGTGTGTTTTTCTCTGCTTGAAATCCTTTGGGTGTGGAAATCTGAAGTATTCTTAGGAGATAAACAGGCAAAACTAAAGCCCAAATATACCACTGAAGATATTTGGGAAGACTGTAAACTGAAATTTTATAGGAGCCCTCCTTTTTTAATTGCCACAAAACCATGTTCGGTCTTGAAAGTGGAACAATTCAAAGGAGCATGAAGCAGAGGATTACTAAAGGTACCAGGGTTGTGCCAGTTCTGTAAGATATGTCTTTACATATGCTGTGTAGAGGTGTAATTGGTGCTTCTGTTAAGGTTAATAAGCTCAGTTGCAGATACTGCATATAAATGATATCAGGAGTCTGCTGAATGGAGTGATGAGAGGTTTGGGAGGGGCTGTTACTGTGCATGTAGTTGAAAAGTTGTGATGTGGAGTATTTGACTGAGTATATTTATGAAAAGTGAGAAAAATGCAAATTTCTTCTGATTTTAATTACCTGAGTATCCCATTGGAAGACTGAATGATTATAACTCTTTAGGAAATCCCAGGTTATGATCGCTTTTTACTGAATACAGTAGAGTCCTTTATTTAAAGGTACAAGAATTTTAGAAGATAAGTCGAATACTCTGTTGTATCTTTAGTGAATCTTTGCTTGGAAAGTAGAGTTCCAGGAATTCAACCTTAACCAAATTTTAGCACCTGGGGCATTACAGCAGTCTGAAATTAGTTCACTTTGGGCTAGTTTTGATTGCATCTGCATATCCCTCATTAACCAAAGGGTAGTTGAATCTTTTCTAGCATCGTTCTGTTTTGCCATGGTTACTATTTGCCATGGAAAATTCCACTTAGTAGTACTGTTGCTTTTGGATCTTTCCCCATACCTAAAAGTCGGTAAAAGAATATATCTCGGGCCCGGCGGCATGGCCTAGCGGCTAAAGTCCTTGCCTTGAACGCACCGGGATCCCATATGGGTGCCAGTTCTATCCCGGCTGCTCCACTTCCCATCCAGCTCCCTGCTTGTGGCCTGGGAAAGCAGTCGAGCATGGCCCAAAGTATTGGGTTCCTGCACCCGTGTGGGAGACCCGGAGGAGGTTCCTGGTTCCCAGCTTCGGATTGGTGCAGTACTGGCTGTTGCGCTCACTTGGGGTGTGAATCATTGGATGGAAGATCTTCCTCTCTGTCTCTCCTCCTCTCTGTATATCTGACTTTGTAATAAAATAAATAAATCTTTAAAAAAAAAAGAATATATCTCAGTGCAGGTCACTGTGCTGAGACTTCCTGTAGGTAGATCCTGCCTGTTCTCTAAGACCAACCACGAATCTTATATTAGAATGTACTGTACATCTCGCATTGCATTAAATTGTCAAATTTTGTGAAATGAAACAGACATTGACATTTTAATAACTTAGCTAAGGTCATACATGAAATGCTGCTAAATTCTTCCTCCTTTCTCCTGTGTAGAGCTTTCCTTAACCTCTCTCCAATACATTAATCTTGCCCTTCTGAATTTCTTCAACTCTCTTACGAGCCATGTTGTGCAATTTAGTAATTAGTTATACACTCCATTTTTAGTGACTCTGGTTGTGTCTTATATGGCGTTTTCCTAATCCTGTGTCTTCCCATAGAATCGAAGCACAGCTACTACTCCTTTCACATTTACTCGATGAAATATTGGATTTTGGTAGATTCTTTTATTTGAATAAAAGAAAACCTTAAATGACCTTAGAGAAACGAATTGCATGTCTATACTGGCAATATGTTTCATTTGAATGTATTTGGCTATGTGTTTATCATGGCATTTCTACTGTTTGAAATGTAGGCTATATTGGTACTTGACAGAGCATTTGTATGGCATTTGGCAATAGACTCCACTACCGTAAACATGATTGACTACGTCCTAATATAATGTTATCCATGGGAAAAGATGAATTATGATTACCTATCAAGGAATCAGATTTCTTCAAGAATTATTGAACAGTGACAAGAAGTGTGGTGAAAATTCAAACATTTTTGTTTTGCATTGATTTCCAGTTATAATTAATGGTAGCTTTCACTTATTTATGGTATTTCTACTGGCTTAATAAACATTATCCTATGTATTGTATCTTTTAGTTTTAAGTATACTATAAGGCAGTGCTAACATGACTGTTGTTTTACTTGACAGGAAAGTGAGGCAAGGAGAGACAGGTCTTCTACTCAGAGTGACATGGAATGGTGGTCCACTGCTTTATACCCAGGGAGTTTGACTCAAGAGTCCATGCTCTATGAAATCATCTCTTTCAAGTAAGAACATAAGACATCCTTTCTTAACATGTTGATGCACACTTTTTTCTCTCCCTCTTCTCTCAATTCACAAGCAGATTAGTAATTTGTAGGATAGTAATCAAATGTTTGCTTTCTGTTTAGGAAAAAAGCAATTATTTGCTGTCCAGTATTCAGTATTCTCTCAACCGTAAGAGACCAAATGTCACTTAGTTATGACACGTTTCTAAAACAATGTTTGCTTTTGTGAATGAAATGTATAAATAATACAGCCCACCTACACACATAACTAGAAAAATATCAATGTTATGAGATTATGCAATAGGAGTTGAAGTAATTAGTAGTCTGTTTCAGTGTGTGAAGACATTAATGTGACCACTTAGAAGAAATGGTCAGTTAGCTAAAAAGTTGCACCTATTGTATTATCACCATGGATGGAGACTTATATAAGTTTGTTTAACTTGTGATTCAGATACCTTGGTGATGACATTTTCTAAAATGCTAATGAAATGTTGGTTAATTTCTTGAAAAATCAAAGGAAAGGTCTCCCTTTATTTTCTGGGTATTGATTTTTGCATTGTCAGAAGTAGAGCTTTACATTTCTGAAATCAGGATGTCTTTCACTTGCTGTCAGCTAGATGTCTGTCCGTCATGCATAACTACCTTTGCCATTACATGAGCATGTGTGAATTTGGTTATGGCTATTACTGACTTCATTTCCTGATAAGCTGAAGATAATTTGAAAAAGACATGTGAGCATAAGATGTGTGAAACTTTTTCATCGGTGCTTTGAAAAGCTCAACAAAATGCTCATATTAAAACTTTATAATTTGTGTCTATGTCCTGGCAAAAACCTTGGACATTGGAGCCGAACACTGTTTTAGAAAGTATGGCATCATCAAGACACTTGATAACAGATGGTATATTTATTTGGGAAGCATGAATCATTGACAATTCTGATCAAAAAACTTCAGAACATGTTCTGAGTACGAGAAAGTTTTAGGAATACCTTAACTCTATTTTATTTAATTTTTTCATTATATGTGTTCAATATATTTTAGTTCTGTCTAAATAACTCCAAAAGAGTACTTTGTATAAATTTAAAGTGGAGATTTTGAGTGCATTGATTCATAGTGTAATTTGCAGTGTTTTCTCCTTCACTTTCTGTGTTTAATAGCTTTTATAATTGATGGTATCTTAAATTAGGTGATATACCATATTTACTTCCTTCAAATTCATTGCATATTAAAACAGCGCAAACAAGCTTCATTTTTACATACAAAATTATGTTAAATTCTAGTCTCATGTAAATGTAAGTAGATTTTCCTGTCGGCAATCGGCCAACATTTTGTTGAGGAAGATTTCCCTTGAATGAATCACTTCTGATGCCCCTGACCCTACCTAGTGAAAGTAACAATTTCTATTCCTTGTGATCATAAAATACATGATGACGAAATTCCAAGAGGCTCTTGAACAAGGTACAGCTCCATTTGGATCTCTTTTGAATGCTTGTAGGGCATGTGTTTCCATTAACTGTCACTAGAGGGAGCAACTAGCCTTTACAAAAGCTTTGTGTTTGGCCGGTGGTGGAAGAACATGGAATTATATTTCACTATCAATCAAATATCTTATAATTTAAACTTAATGATGTATGTTTACCCCCACTATGCTTTAATTGTTACAAAGTAGTTTGGTTATGTTAGGAAGACTTTCAATAATTACATCAGCCCAGAATATCTCCTATGAGATATTGCTGTCTCATGGACCTTTCTTCAAGTTCTAACATTTATCAGCTGTGTGTCCTGGATAGATCACTTCATCTCTCTGCTCCTTAGAGTTCTCATAGGTAAGTGGAAGTTATAATACAACTATTGTATGAGGTATAATTGGGCATTGAAGTGATTTGCTATGAACAGTGTACTGCATAGGAGTTCAGAGAAGAAAGCTAGATTAGAGAGATTAGTGAAAGTTCAATGAAGGAATTGAGACTTGAATTGTATCCCACTATGGCATACGGTTGAAAAGTTTATGAAACAGGTTAGGCCAAAAGGTAGTAATGTCTGTAGCTATTTCAACTTGCTTTCTTGCTGGTTCACTCAGTCTGAAGCTGAGAGCCAAGAACTTCTTCCACGTCTCCCACACTGGTGCTAGGCCCCAGGCCTTGAATAATCCTCCATTTCCTTCTCAGGCAATAAGCAGGAGCTAGATCAGAAGTGGAGCAACCTGGACATGAACCCATGGATGGTAGAACACTCTCAGTCTCCATGTCTCTCTCTCTCTCTCTCTGTCTTTTCCTTTCCCTCTGTAATAATACATTTCAGAAAACAAAATCTTTTTTAAAAATGTGAATGATTTGGAAAGAGATTGACATTCATTTCGGTCATTAGTAAATTTATATTAACCAGATATTTATTGCATAATTGATATTGTGTTAAATGATTCCATGTGTTCTTTCATGTATCTCATACTTCAATTCATAGACAACATTCCCTTTCTTTAAAATGGAGGAGTTTCAGAGAAATCAAGTGACTTGCCTAAAGTTACAGAACTTTCCAACCAGGGAAAACACCAGACAGTGACTCAAGTCCTTGGGTTCCTCCTACTCACGTGGGAAATCCTGATAGAATTCCTGACTTTTGATTCAACCTGGTCCAACCTTGGTTGTCATTGGCATTTTGGCAGTGAATCAGTGAATGAAAGATATGTCTGTCTCTCACTCTGCCTTTCAGATTATAATAAAGTGTCTTAAAAAGTGTTGTGACTAGAGATTAATGGAGTATTTACCAAAAACATGCAAATCATGGACTCTGTAAGAGGTAAATCTTTTCATTAGGGATTTATGGCATTATGGAGAGGATAGATATAGAAACAATTTTATGACCAGTTGATTGATGTAGCAAGGAATGTGTGGATAAGGAACTTTCCTGAGATTGAGAAGAGCTGGATAAGAACTCGCAAAGAAGATAATTTAAGATGTTGTGATAATAACATAGTATTGTAACAAAAAAGAGTAAGAGAAATTCAGTCTGATAAAAATACCCTGAATCACATGCCAGTTGGAGTCCCACGAGCTTTGGAAATTGATTCAGAGACTAACTCCTTCAGAATGATGGAAAAATAAGATGAAGTATGATAGTGAAGGATCTTTAACACATTTTTATCTATATTATATAATTATATATTTTATCATAATATATAGATTATATACATATATATTATATAAATATATAAGGTATATATTCATATAGCATCACACAATAATATATAAACAATATATTTAAGATATTATGTTTAAGGAATTACATTAATATATGTTTAATATTAATGTATAAATATATCATATAACTTATATATGCATTTTGATTATAATTTTATTTTAGATGGCAGATTACTTCTATTTTTATTTTTTAAATAATTTATTTCTGTTACAGAGAGGGGTATGTAAATAGAGAGCTCTCTACCATCTTCTTGTTCATTCCCCAAATGGCCACATCAGGCAGAAGCTAGGAGCCAGGACCTTTATCTGTCTCTTCCATGTGTTTAGGGAACCAAGCGGTTGGGCTATCTTCTGCTGCTTTTTCAGGCAATAAGCTAAATCAGAAGTGGAGCAGCCGGGACTTGAACCAGAGTCCATATATGATGCTGGTATTGCAGGCAGTAGTTTTCCATGCTTTACCACAATACCAGGCCCAGATTACTTTTTTAATTTAAAAAACGTTTTTTAAAGATTTATTTATTTTTATTGGAAAGTCAGATATACAGAGAGGAGGAGAGACAGAGAAGATCTCCTGTCTGCTGATTCACCCTCTAAGTGGCCACAATGTCAGGAGCTGAGCCAATCTAGAGCCAGGAGCCTCCTCCAGGTCTTCCCCATGGGTACAGGATCTCAAGGCTTTGAGCCATCCTCAATTGCTTTCCCAGGCCACAGGTAGGGAGCTGGAGTAGAAAACAGGGCCTACAGTACATGAATTGGTGTCCACATGGGATCCCTGCCCACAGAAGGCGAGTACTTAGCCCACTAGGCTACCACGCTGGACCCCACGGATTAGTTTTAAAGTAAAAAGATTTCTATTTTCACACATTGGTTCAGTGATTTCAATAACCTGTTAACATTCTTCTTAAACTCTCAAGTTTAGGGGTTATAATACATATATTACAGTATCTTGAAGGGACAAGAACCCTTACTGGACAGCAGATGGTAGAAGTATTTGTAAGTGGAGGGAAGATGATATCAGGAAAACCCCACAAGCTGATGTCATTGGCGCTTTAAAACATCCGAACCTCAGTTCAGAGTCTCTCCTGTTAGTCCCAGGCTCCACCCAGAGGTCAGAAGAATGAACTAAAGAAAGGCGCCTGTCATTACTAGTGACTTCCCCAGACTCCTGTGGTCCTATTTGTATTACTAATGGAGAATAGAATGATATATATAACCTTCCAGAACCATGAGGTGTATTAAAACCAACAGAATATTCTCCAGCTCCTTACCGAGTTCTTCCTACAGAGGAGTGACAGTCATTTGAAAGTAAATCATTACACTGCACCATGAAAAGAGGAATGACAAGTATGCTTTAACAAGTTCTCAACACTAAGCACAGAGAAGACCTGAGTGCCTGGCAGGTTCAGAGAGCTTTAGAGAAGAAGGACCGCTTGGAGCTGGGATTTCATGACAGAAGGACAGAGAGCAAAGTTGAGCAGTGATGAGGAGAGAGGAAGGAAGCCTGGAAGACGGTATGGTTTGTATTGGGAGGATTTTTGAGACTGCATGTGGAGTTCTGTGTTTTGCTGTCAACATCCTGTTGAATCCTAACAGTATGCGTTTACTTTTTCCTTTTAAAAATGTAATGATACCTCCCATTTTTTTGTTTTTAAGGAGTTTATATAAGATAGAATGTGATGCAAAAACTGAATTATCCAAAATGTAGAAACAGAAGACAGGAAGTATGATACAGGAAGTCACCCTAAATGTAAATTAAAGAAAGAAAACCTAGATCTCTAAATTAAGAGAAAATAATTAACCCCCT